TGATGTTAAGTTTTCTATTTTGTGTAGGAAGCACTCCATCTTCTTTGAGCTGCTCAGGAATTTGTATGGCCTTTGTTTTGAAGGTAGTATCAGTTGCATTCTCTAGTTTAGGCTTTTTTTTCCCAACTTTTAATTTCACTTTCTGGAAATCCTCCTGACGTTTCCTTTTTTTAGTCATTCTGATTCTCTGCAAAAAGATAATTTAATTTGATTATACACACAACAAAAGTAGTTTTTCCACCAAAGAGTAACAACCTCCTAACAATAGCTACTGTTTTCATTCTTTTGTCTATGCATAAACGAGTGTCCACTCCTGGGACAAGATGCTAGACTAAACAGACATGCAGACTGATTCCATGCAGCTGCTCTTCCAGCGTCCAGAAAACATTCTGCTGCTCCTTTGGCCGTCTCTGCTCTGAGAACTACTTAATTAAAAAGCATCCAGATACCTGCATCTGCCACTGCTTTATCAAGAGTTAACCTGCTGATTTGGTTTTGTTTTACAAAGTTCCTGCCAATAAAGCAACTTTTTACATGTGATTCTTGTCAAGCCAAGGAACTCAGCAAACCGTTTCCTTTCAATTGTACACTGCTTACCAAGTCCATCACTAACAGCACACAGCCTGCACATGTACAATCTTAGGTTTAAACAGGCCTTCACCAATAAAAGGACACAAAAAACAGAAGAAAACTTCCACCACACACTGAAAATACCAGTCTGTGCATTTAAACATAACTAGAAGTAGAGGGAAAGAAGAGATCAATTGGGCAACTACAGACCAAATAAAATGGAAAACTAAGACATTTTTAATAAAGCGTAAGATGAGGTATCTGAGCCACTATACTTATAAGCTGTACAAACATACTGGAATACAGGTACAATAACCAAAACAAATTAAAACCCCCATAAGTTTCTAAATAGCTTTTTGGTTTTGTTCTATCTGTTTTGATACTGAAGTACACCTACTTCTACCAGGTTAAAAGAAAAAAAATGAACCCACTGAAAAGGCCCCAACAAATATTACATCACAGATTTCTTTATTTAATCCTCTCAAAAAACCCACCATCCACTTTCCCCACAAAAAAAACTCAATCAAGAAAGACCCAAGCCAAAAGCCCCAACAATACAACAGACTAAACCCAGAAATTTCTGAATAACATATCCAAACAATGATTCTCTCCTGGTGGATGTGATCACCGTTCCTACAGCTGATTTTCTCAATGGACTTCAAGCTAAAATTTGTGCTCTACTAGAGTATTTCAAATATACAGCAACAGGATAATCATTAAAGAATGTTTTAAAACATATTGTAATTTTCTATAATTTTAAAACAATTTCAACAACTGATTACACCAGCATTTGACTACAACCTAATTTCTGCTTTTCACACACTAGGTTAAAAAATTATATGCAAGACCACTTTAACTAAAGTACAAATTTGGCGTAAGTAAGCTATCAACTCAAAAGGCTTTTAAAAAACTTGGGTCCTGGTGCCAAAAGAAAAAGGTCCTTTAGTGTTCAACTATAACAAACATGGCTTTATAAAGGATTTTTACCATATGCATCTTTTTAGGAAAGAATTACAAGAATTTCACCACTTGATATACAGAAACAGTTAGAAGCTTTTGATGTAGAAGTTATTTCCACTTATAAGGATTGCTTTTACAAGAGTAGATGTCTGGCTCCCAGTCAGCATAAAAGCTTCACAATACAGGTGTGCGCACAACTGAACAGAGTCAATTAAGCTCTTTTAAAAGAGGAGGCTTATAAAACATCCTTTCTCCTACTAAAAGCAGCACAGTTTACCTCACAATAAACATTCTGGGAATAACTGGTAATCTAAGCCTACCCATTTCCAATTCATATGTACCATGCCATACCAAAAGATAAAATCCTTACAAAAGGTAAGGATGTAAACACCACAGTGGCTACATAATAAGACATCAGGCAAAACTGTCTACAGCTGATGAAACTATGTAACCATTTCAATGAAAGTTCATGCTGAAACAACTGCCTTTGACACAAACTGCATTTTACAAGAAGAGACTGTGGGAACTGGGCCTGTTTAGTCGGGAGAAGAGCGAGAGGGAATTTCATTATTGCATTTAAATTTCTCCAAGATGGGTGCCAAGAGGATGGTGCCATAGTGTTTTCAGCGGTGCCCAGCAATAGGATGAGGAGCAATGGCCATACACCAAAACACAAGAAATTCCACCTCAACATGAAGAAGAAATTCTTTACTTTAAGAGTATAAGGGCACTGGAACAGGCTGCCCAGGAAGCTCTCTGGAAACAATCCAACCCACCTGGATGCATTCCTATGTCACCTGCTCTAGCTTATACTGCCTTGGCAGGCAGACTGGACTAAATGATCTCCAGAAGTCCCTTCCAACCCTAACTATCTGTGATTCTGTGCATTTTCACCTGGCCCTCCTCCAACAAGACTGAGCACCTAACAGTTAAGCACTAACACGGTTTTACAACCCAAAACATTAAAACAACGTCCAATCGACTCCTTAAACATAAAGCAGCACACACCGTTTTTCAGACACCACTTCCGATGTCACTCAGGCACCCTCACCTCAGGCTCAGAAAAAACATTCTGTTACAGGTAGCACCCGATAATCTTGGAGCTCTTTTCCAACCAAATGATTCTGGTTTCATTCCCTCGCAGCTCTCAAGCGGCATCCTTCGGGAACCTCACAACCTTGCTCAGTCAGGAAAATCCTGAGAAACCCGAAGGCAAGGCACACGCCCTAACCGACTCCTCCGAGCTGATATGGATTTCCCCCCGGGCGAGCTCTCTCCCGGCACAGGACAGCGATACTTACAGGCGATCACCTCTGCTCGGCTCCCGCGCCGGCAGCGCATCCCCCGCCGCCGCCGCCGCCCGGACCGCACCGCACCGCCCGACCCCGCGCACGCCGTACCCGAGCCGGAGCGGCCGCTTCTCTCGCGGGTCTAGGCTGTCACGCTGCCTTCCTCGCCGTCCCGGGACATCCTTCGGCTCGCTCCCCGAGCGCTGCTTCCCTCCGCCCCGCTCCAGTCGCTCTACGAGGCGTTCAAATAAAGGCGCGTCAGTGCCGGCCCGGCGCCGGGGAGGCCGCGCGTTCGGCCCCCGGGAGCGCCGGGCGAGGCGGGAGCGGCGCAGAGGAGAAGCCGCCGGGAGAGGTGGGGCAGGGGCGGCGGTGCGCGGCGCAGCCGATACCACCGATTTCCCCGGGAGCGGCACCCGGCCCGCGCCGCCGCGGCTCCCGCTTTTCCCGCCGCCTCCCTGGCGCACGAACGTGAGGGGAGGGCGGGTCGCACAAAAGGCGGGCGGCCCTTGGCGCAGGGGCCGGGCGAGCGCGGCGGCCCCCGCGAGCAGGGACGGACCGAAAGGGACCGCGGCGGGCTCGGGATCCCGATCCTCCTCCTCCTCCTCCTCCTCGTCCGCCTCCTCCCGCGCCGCCCGCGCGCGGCCGCTCGCTCCCTCACTCACCAACCACGCGCGCAGCAGCGCCAGCCCCGCTTCCGCCCCCGCCGAGCGCCTGCCCGGAAGCGGCCGCCCACGTGAGCGGCGCCGCCAGCGCCCGCCCCGCGCGCCGGGGGAACGCGCGCTTCCGCCGCGGCCGCGCCCCCTGCAGGCGGGGCGGCCCCGGGGATGCAGGCGCCGTCACCCGCCCGGCGGGAACGCTGCGCCAAGGCTTCGGCTCCGTCTGGGATAGAGCTTTGGACAGAGCTTTGCTTGTGTGCATCTTCCTCGAGAGGGGAAGAGGAGGGGCAGGCGGTGATCTCTTCTCTGTGGTGGTCGGCAGACAGGACCCGGGGGAATGGCCTGACGTTGTGTCAGGGGAGGGTTGGGCTGGAGGTAAGGAAAAGGTTCTTCACGCCGAGGGTGGCTGGACACTGGAACAGCAGCCCCAGGGCAGTGACCACAGCGCCAAGCCTGAGCTCAAGGAGTGTTTGTACAAGGCTCCCAAGCACACGGTGTGACGCTTGGGGTATCCTGTGCAGGATATACCCCCGGCCAGGAGCTGAACTCCATGATTTCCACCTTGGTTTACTCTGAGGTTCTGTGAAGATGAACTCCCTTCCCCTGAAGGGTGCCCTGCTGCTCGGGCACCTCAGCAGACAAGAACTCATTAATAATAACCAGAACCCAGATAAGCACAAGTCCTGTGAGGAGCAGCTGAGGGAGCTGGGATTATTTAACCTGGAGAAAAGGAGGCTCTGGGGAGAGGGGCCTTATCACTCTCTACAACCACCTGAAAGGAGAGTGTAGCCAGGTGTGTGATTGCCTCTTCTCCCAGGCAATCAGCAACAGGATGAGAGGACACAGTCTTAAGATGTGTCAGGGGTAGTTTAGGTTGGACATCGGGAGGAATTTCTCTACTGAAAAGCATTGAACATTGGAACGGAGTGCCCAGGAAGGTGATGGAATCACCATCCCTGCAGGTATTTAAGGAAAGACAGGAGTGCCACAGTTCAGTAGACATGATGGTGTTGGGTCATGGGTTAGGCTTGATCTGAGGCCTTTTCGAACCCATTTGATTCTGTGATTCTTCCATTGAAGGCAGTGCAGATTCAGCATTGGCATTTGAGGTTATTGTTATTATTTCACATATACGAGGTTATTATTTCCCATATAAACCACAAGGCGTGCTGCAGGCTTTTGTACATACCCAGATAAAGCTTGCTGCTCCAAAGGGGTAATGAATTCCCACATCAGAAAGAGAGGGGAAAAAACCCTGGGAGACCCAGGAGGCAACAAATGAGGAGGATGTTTCCACACCTGCTTACAACATCTCACTTCACATGAGACAGTAACTCTGCATTGCACACTCTAAACTTTTAATTTCTTGCCAATTAACCTGTGAACATCATTCTCCTTTCTGCCGTCTGTGAGGAGTAGGAGTTCTGCAGCTTTTTGTTAAAAATCATTTCCTCTAAGCTCTCTGGTTTCAGTAAAATATGTTAAACCTAGATGAAGCTTTACAGAGAATTAATTTTCTCTTGGTTTAATTTTTGTTATTGCTTAACTTTTATTAATTTTCTAGTTACCTCAGAAGTCTGCCTTGCTGTTAATGTGAGAAACCAAAAATGTATAATACAGCCAACAGCACTGTTTAAATATTATCAGTAAAGATAATGTCTTTTTCTTCCTTACTTTGCAGTACTGGCACAAGTAAAACATTAAAATCTATTTTGGAACAAATATACAATTTTCCATTAGTATAAGAATACACCAAGCCATCACAAAACAGAGGCAGATACAAGAAGAAAATAATACAATGCTTCTTCAGCCTCTATTTGCACCAGGTAAGAAAGGAAAAAATAAAAATAATTGTACAGCTGAATGGACTACGTTGGACTGTGTTCTTTGAAAACATCTCCAGAAGCGTACACTTGCTGACTCTTGCCCAGTCCAGGTTTCTCAGCTATCTTTGAGAGGTACAGCAGCACTCTGCAGCACACCATTCCACCATTTTATGTCAGTGTACTACAGACCTAGAGGTCTCTTCCTTTTTCAGCATGCTCCTCCTGCATCCAAGCGAAAAAATCCACCTCAAATCCAAGGTATTTCAATTTTATTGTAACTTCGTTTCCACTTGGAATGATTCCACAGTAAGAAGACAAACAAGCTGTCTCAGAGATGGCCATTTACAACAGCTGAATAATCTGATTTTATTTTAATACAAAGATTGTTCTGCACATTGAAAACAAACAGGAAAAATATGTTTCTATTTTTATTTTCAGAATTCAGAATTTTTACTTTTTAAGTTCACCTTCATTTAGCAGGCATTAACACTGTTCCTATACAGAGCAAATGAACTCTAAGAACTCTGGTTCCATCTCTGCCTCTGATAAAAACAGATTTAGATGCAATCCAGAAATTCCTCAGACTTTCTTTAAAACACAGTGTTTTAATGTCTCTGTGAACTGTTTTCCTTCCTGGATCTGTTCATATAATAAAACTCATAAATTTTGTTGCTGCTTTCTTTGTTACCTTAGTTTTACTGCATCTTGCACTCCATGGTATGAAGATGTGAAACCATCACAGGATCAAGATTCTCAAATTCCATCCAGATCTCAAAAAAAAAAGTGTAAGTTAACACTAAAAAGTTCATTTGCCATCTGGCCCCAGCATGTCTAAATTATACCAGTATTTGGCTGCAAGCTGAAGAGCTTTAATTAGAACCACTGAATGCTACCCAGCATCACAAGCAGGAAGTGAATTTTAATCACACAGCTTCATTTTAAAAAAATATTTTTTCCCAAGCAAATTAATTAATAACCATTCACAACATTTTTTCACCTTCCTACAAAAGTAGAAGTCATTAATATATAGACATGTACATTCAGTCAGGACCAGTACTACTTTAGCTGGAAAAAAGTTCATTTTAAAAGAGCCTGAAGGACAGTGTAAGCCAGCATTCATTTCATTTTCATGCTGGCAGGATAAAATACAAAAGATACTTTTGCCACTACATCGGTGCCTCTTAGCCAGAGCCTTCTTTTATTTCCTGTTGGGAAATATCTCTAAATTTGCAAAACATACCTAACTTTGCTGAGCTTCTATGCTCCCTAAATCAGCTATAATCCAGGCACTTCTATTTCAGCATGAGACTGACAGCACTGACTTTTTAGTAAAATGTGGAGACCTGTTCATAACCCTTATACTGGAAATGGTTTTTGATTACAAAGGCTTTTTAGTCAGTCCTAACAGCCACAGGGAATAACTTCCAAACATTTCTTGTAGGATGAGTTTGTACTGCTGAGTGCAGTAGTTTATTCTGCTGATAATTCTTTGTAAAAGAACCAACAATAAGAAAGGTTCAGACTGTCAATGTACAGTATTTAATAATACTGAAGAAAGCAAGTTACCTGTTGTAACACAGAAAGAATGAGCATGAGCTTTACAACCTTTCCACAATACAGAAGTTTCAGCTAAATGGAAAAATACATAACAAGAATATTACAACCAAGTTATTAATTTAATTTAAAAAACACTGTGCAAAAGTTAAACATAACAAAATAACTCCACTGAGGTCAAATGAAGTAAAACAACAAACTTACAGAAAGTAAACATTGCTACATTATCTCTTTAAGTACCGTGTCACTGTGTGCTGCCATTGCTTGGTCCCCTCAGAGTTCCACTTTCAGTCAGGATCCTTACAACTTTCGGTATATCAATTCCTTAGTTAAAGGCAAACAAACAAACGAAATCAAAAAAACAAGCAATTTTATGATAAAATTAATTTAAAAATACATGTTATACTGAAACATTCAGATGCTGAGATGAGTTTTGGATCTTTCCTTATTAAAAGAAAAATACCTTAACAGAGAACAATCAGTATGTGCTTGGAAGCTGCAAGCCTTCCTACAATATACTCATCTTTAGTGTTCTTTTTTTAACCTTTATGAGGTTACACACTCTGAGAAGCTTAGGAACATACACAGGAAGCTTCTGAAGAGAGAGCAGTAGTTGACTGAAGATGTGGGAGGTTTAATAGTTGACACTTATTAGAAAGTTGTAAGCAAAAGGGAGACTACTTGTCTATGATTTATTATAATTTCTATGTTAATGTGCAAATACACTTCTGTCAGGAACTGGTAAATAAATTCTTCACTGTTGGTATTCACAAAACTAGCATTTCTCCACTTGCAGCTCAGAGAAGACTCTAATTTTCTAAAAACAATATATTTGGTTTTAGTTTACTGTCTCTCACCATGCAAATGTTACTATGCAAAAATGAGAGAAGAATTTAAAAAAAAAATCAGCAACTATTAATGCCTTTATGGGAAGGCAGCTATCCTGCATTACCGTTCCTAAACTGGATCCTGTAAAAGTTAGAGGGTGGGAAAACAGAATTCTCTTCAACCCTCCTTAATACCTCAAAGTTCTTTGACCCATATAAGTCCTTAATATTTCACAGAGCTAATAAATGATGATATGTATATGTTTATATATGTGTATGTGTACAAGTGTATGAAAATTACCTCTGAAAGCTGGATTTGATGCTGCTATTTTGTGTAGGGTGTCAGTAACTTCCTCAGCATTCATGTTTCTTACACTGTTCAAAAACTCAGTCGTGATGTTGTTCTCATATGCTGTTTCCAAAGAGCCAGTTGAAAAGTTCTGGGGTTCATCTTCGTTGGCTGGTAAGAACTGGTTAGCTGATTGGCTGCTTGAGTGGTCTAAAGAAGAGAAATACTGTTTTTCAATACGAGAGGATTCTGAAGAGCCTTCACTACTTATTTCTCTAAATAGGTATTTTCAAAACAAGCATTTCCAGTCTGGCACAGCAGCATTGCTGGTACATTGCTGATCACACCTGACTTTGCTGCATTTTCAAACCACCAAGACTCAGGAATGCTTTCCAGCTACAGAAAATCCTGGAGAAACAAGGGTGGGGAGGTAGGTGAAAGCTATTTCCATTACACTTCCAAAAAAATAATAAAAGTCTCAAATCTCCTATGTTCAAAGTCACTGCAATTTTTGGCATTACCATTGTAAAAATGAAGGTTTTCAAAAGCTAAACTTTCTAGAAAAGCTAGAAAACTGACATAGTACAGAAAAAAAAAATCACACAAAATATCTTTACTAGTATTCTGGGTATCTTGGCTTTCCAAGCATAATATTGTACTTCCTAGGCTTAAGAAAAAAAGACATTTTTTTCTATCAGACAAAAATTACCTCCAATAAATCCAGGATTCTTTGAAAAAATTAATCAGAAATACTGAGCCCAAGTAGCTGAAGTATTCAGGTATTAAAGAGAATTATCCATCCTCTGCCACGTAACTTTCTACTAACATCTTGATTTGACTAAACCTGCAGGAAACATCTCCTCCATCAAGAAGGGGAAAAATATTGGGGAAAAAATGAAAGAAGCCAAAGAAACTTTGAATGTCTCCTTAGAAACAGTTGCCTTTGAACACAGAAAATTCAGAGCTGTACTAAATCAGTTTCTCCCCAAATCCTACAGTTAAGTAGGATAAACGTGTTTTAATAGTCTCCTCTTTCTAATACTAGTAGAGAATGGGGAAAAAAACCCAAAACTATTCATTCAAGCTACTTGACTCTGGCTTTAGTCTGCTCTTAAGTACTGCTTTTAGAAAAGCAAGAAGAAAGGGTTACTATCATTTATGCAACATTCAGTGTTAAGATTAAAGCACATTAAAGACTGCAAAGCCAACATTACCAGTGTCAGAGTCATTAATATCTGCTGAAGTTGGGCCAGGTTGTTCTGTGGAATATTCTAGTTCTGTTTCTCCATTATATCCAGCACCTAAGTGGTCCTATGAGTTTAAAAAAAATAAAAGTAAGTTTAAAATCTTGTCAGGACAACCTCTTGGAACAATGAACTACTGCATTTTTAACGATCACAAACCAACCAAATAAAAGACGAGTATTTCTGCTACCAAATCTGAAAAATCACGTATTTCTTTGCAAATCATAGGGCTAATAACTTCTCTGTATACACTGCCCAACATATCTCTGTGTCTCAAAAAGATCTATATTAGGCAATGAAGTGATACTCATTGAGCCTAATTCTCAACTTGTCAGATCTAAAAAGGAAGCATTTTACACTCAAAATAGAAGATTTATCTAAAAAATTACCAGTAGAAAGATCACAGTTTAGAATACTAACAAGGCCTAATGTAGGAAAACATATGGGTCTTCCACATCTTGTGGGTTAGAAGTTATTTTAGTTAGAACTTCATTGTTTTGTAACATGCCAGCAGCCTCAGAAAAGTACTCCAAACACCTCCATATGTACTGCCTATGTAAAGATAAGTCAGTCACGAGTAATAGCAGAGAGAAAAAAAACTGGGTTTCTAATAATGGAAGAAGAATGAGACCTCAGAAAGAACAGTCCAAAGGCTAGGACCAGAAGTTGTATAAGAAAAATTCATGTCACTGATGTGTGATTACATGGTGAATAAAGTGAAGCCTGGGAACAGAAACGGGATACAGAACAGGAGTGTTATGCAAGACAGTAGAGAGGAGAAAAGCTTAAGTCAGAATTAAAAACGGGCAAAGTAGCAGAAAAACTTAGATGTAAGGAAAAGCATTGGCAATAAGTGACAAGATTATTTTTAGTTTCTATCAGCAATAAAAAATAAGCAACCACAGTTTAACAGAAATTAAGATTCGTCAACAGAAAATCTAAAATTTTACCCTATCATCACTACCAAAATTTATGTATTTAACGAGCCAAACTTAACAATAGTCTCCACAGCATTTTTTGTTTTATTGTATCATCTATAATAATAAAAACGCACAATTACAGGAATCTACAGGTTTGTAGAATAAATCAAAACAAATCCACATTACTTTGCTTGATGCAGCCTGTTGACGATATTCCACCAGTGCATTTGTGAGAGTCTGTGTAACTTTCAAGATAAATGAAGCATCATCTTCATTCAGTATCTCAAAACTTTGCTAGGGGAAAAAAAAAGAAACAAAACAACACCCTAAAACATTTTTCCTCAGAAAAACTGAAGTATCAAAATTTATAAACAAACCTGTAGGAACCTCATTTTCTCTTCATCTCTACCCTTCTGTCAGACTTGGATGGAATTACAAAGCAAATACAGTTTTTATTTTCAGTCCCACAAATGGGGAGGAGGAAGGTAGAATGAAAGAGAATCCTAGGAGAAGGAAGATACAGCTACCCAACACAATAATTTGAAAAGGAATAACACAAAAATATGCCCGGAAATATACAGACGATAATCCTTTTCCTTAAGTATTTTGATCTCTTGCCAAGATGCCTGCATACAAATGAATGTCTACACCTTCCCTGAGGCAATATAGTCATAACCTATTTCTCTAGAATGTAGCAAAAAGCCAGAATGCTACTGAATTTAAATGTACATGCTGCCTTGCCTTACATTAGCCTTTTTTCCCCCTAAATGTCTGAGGAAAAAGTAGTCTTGAAGCTGTGAAGCTGTACTAGGGAAGCAAGTTCTAGCACCAACAGCACTCACAGAGGGCTACATGTGTCATTCTCTTGTCTACACCAAGAAAGTTCTGCTGAAAACACTTTCTTGGGAACAAAGCAAAGAACTCCAGGTGTGTCCTAGCAGTTCAAAGTCTCCTGGATTAGAAATAAACACCTTAAAACACACCAGACAATGGAAAATAAGTAATAGAAACTTAGCATTAAGTTCGTATTACATTTATACCACTAACAGTATTTCTGTCTCCTGGTTTGCACAAGCTATATTTAATGAAGATCTTATCAAAAGCTAGCTGGAAAAAGAAGAGTAAATTGTGGCAAGGATATCTTTGCTAGGAGGCAATAAAGAAATATGGTATGGACAATTATTGGACAGCTTTATAGAATACGAACAGCAAGTGCAAAAAGATACCTGTAAAATTACTTTTCACCATGTAAGAAAACTTTGAATCCAAAAACAGAAACACAATGCAGCTTTTGAAAAAAATTACTGTAGATGCAAAAATAAACAATTTTCACACTTTCCAAAACAGAACATTGTTCCAATCACACTCCCTACAGTCCTCTTTTTTCCTCAGAGGACAATCATACTAAGAAAAAAGATGCCTCAAAACAAATTCAAGTTTTATTAACAAGGTGTAACCTCCATACCTAATAACTCCCTATTAAAAAAAGAGGACAAAACCATTTTATGGTAGTCAATAGTGCCTAAATTACCATGCAGTGGATCAGTCAAGCAACCATCAGTAAAGATTTCCATAGAGTTTTTCAGTGCTTTTATGGAAATTACCATTTCTGCACACAAGATCACAACTGTAGTTGCTAATCTAACAACTGGAAACTGACATTTTTCCAATGTTACTGATTGTATCATTGCTGTGCATGTGTACATAATACACATTTTCAACAACTGAACAGAACCCCGGTGTTCTGACACTTACTTTCGAGAGGCAGATTTTGCAGTTATGATACTCTGGGCCAGGGTGGTGGGGGAGCCTCGTTTTAAATACACAACTTGCATTTTATTTCTTAAAAACCCCTTCTTTCCTTTCTACGTATCTCTGATATTTGTCTTCATTCTGCTTCTTTCCGTTACTGAATTGCGTCTTTCCAAATTCCTCATTTGAAAATTATAGACCAGGTATAGAAATAAAGGAGAAATAAAGTTTAAAAAGGTCATATTACCTAAACATGTAGTTAAGGGCTGAAGCTAAGATAGAGTTGAAAAAAAAAGAATTTTCAATGCAAGTAATTTCTCTGACAGTAAACCGTCATTTTGGCAAAAACAATGTCCAGAAACTGAAAAAATAATAGACACATTATAAATTCAGTGACATTAATTTTATTCTGAATCCTTCCTTCTGGCAAAATGGTAATCTGTTAGATTACCAGACTGCCTACATTCTGTCTTTCATTACTTGCTACATTTTAGACTTAGCAAACCAGTGATTTCTTTTTTTAGGGTTTTTTTTTCCAAAAATTATCTTGCAAGGTAAAATTTAACACTCACCAAATAACCCAACAGTTCTTCTTGACTAGTGAATTCTTCAGGATCTGCTGTAAATTCTTGCTGTGTAACATAAAGAGGTCCTTAGGTCTATTACATGCAGCAAATGTAATACAGTAAATACAATGTAATGCAGTAAATGCAAATAAACAATAATTATGTTTACTCTAAAATTCAAATTGTTTGTGCTGTTATGAAATGTGTGCATATATTTTCATAACAAAGTAGGAAAAAACCTTGTTGTTAATAGTTTTGCCTTAGTAACTCTGCAGATAATTTATTGTGAATATTAATTTAAGTAAGCAAACACTATTGCCAATCATATATTAATTATTCACCCAACTATTGGGAAACTGGAGTAACCCATTAACAGAAAAATATTCACCTGAGCTTCCTTGTTTTCTTCCTCTAATTGTTCATTGGTCTCACACCTTAAAATAGAATAAATAAAACATTCAGTTGGCTGATCCAGCAAAAATGTGTAGCCAGCCAATAATCAGTTTAAATTCCTGACACACTACTACTACAGTAGTTCTGACACACTCTGAAAGAAAGGTCACGTATTATTTCCTCAGAGAAATCCCAGTCATCCCAGATCATCATAAAAATTATTTATGCAGTTTGGGTTTGTTTTAGTGTGATTATCTAGCATGTAAGCTCTAAAACCCAGAGTTAATAAAAAAGCTTGACTTTGGTGGTAATAGCTGTAAGATTTTTGTATGCGTTGCAGTGAGACAAGGCTCCTAAATACAGCTGGATTTTTATCAGCACTTCACAAACTTGCCTTTAAAAATTTCAGCTATTAAAAATCAGTGTTTTACAATGCAGTCACACAAATAATGGGCATAAAATGCCCATATGGCTAAACATTCCTGTGCTATATTTGTGATGTTTTGCCAAACTACTACAGATTCATTCCATCCCTTTGCAAGCCCAGGAACCAGGGCTGAGAGTGGCTGGGTGTTTCTTAAATTAACCAAACAATATGACTGCCAAGCCTAAGCCCTCTTCTGCCTTGAACTGATTTTTAGGAATCAAAAGTTTAGTAAAAGCAGATGATAAAATAATTTACATCTTCATATGATTGTTCAGAAACTTAACTACAAAGAAAGGAGGACTCATAGAAATTCTCAGACAGGTACTGTAAAATCTTTAAGTGGAAACAAGTTGTCAATCAGGATCTGATCTTAATTCTTTTAGGACATTATATATTAAGTTCTTGTCTTCTCAGTAGTCTCAAAAAAATAAATAAATAGTAAAGGAACAAGCTGAAGCCCCAGTTTAGTAACTAACTTCCAAGTCAGTCTCTCACTGAAACACCTGGCTGCTAATAGTCACCCAGAATCCATCTGAGCCAGATTAAAAGAGAAACATTAAGTGATATTCCAAAGGAAGCTGTTCTTAAAATTTAAAAGTACAAGACTGCACAATGAAGACCAGTACCAGGCAGAAATAGACCTCAGCATCTCCAGCTGTGGATAGCTGAGCTTTTATTAATTTCCTATTCTTCATGTTTTCACAAACTGGTTCCGATTCAGAACTGTTAGTTATTTGAAAGCTAGTAAGTGAACACAAAGATTCATAAACCTGGACTTGAATCGGGTTTCAACTGATCGTTTTCCATAATGGTTGCTCCACAGAGAAGCAAGTCTGAAAAAATGTACTTCAGGAACATGAAAATTTCACCTTTAACAATGAACAAGCAAAAGGTGTTAGCCCTCCATGTCTGGGAGAGATATTACTGGTTTAAAGTTAGAACACATTCCAAGGGAATGCCATTAAGAAAAAACTAAGTGACCAAATCATTGGAACAAAAGTCCTGTGTCTGGGTTGATGCCTGTATGTCTCTTACTGAATGCCCTCCTGTGGCTCCTGGTGCTGCACAAGTATGACCAATGCTGGAGATGTCCTCCTCACACAAAGGCTGACATTTACTCAATTCACAACTCTGTTACTCGTAAGATGTTCACAAGCAGCAAGCACAGCTTCACTATTTTAGAACACAGCTGCTCCTTTGAAACACTATTCCTCCACAAAATCATTTGTAAAGGAGAAACCCTAACTGTTTCAACTATTACTGATTGTCTTTCTCTTCCAAAATAAGTTTGCATACCACTTTAACTATCTGACACGAACCTGTAACAGAGGCAGTTGTAAACCATGAGGAGACATACTTTTGGAACATTTTGAGCAGCACGTGGCAACTATACCTTAAGGACAACAGTTAAATACAAAAGCCAGCTGCATCCAGAGCAAAATCTGAGGTCACTTTACATACACCATGTTTTCTGTCGATTACAGAAGTTTACAGCTGAGCACAATTTCAGAAGACATGGATTTTACTATGCAAATCCAAGACAGACAGTTGTCATGCACAACATTTTCCTTTAAATTAATTTAAATGGGTTTGAAGGTGGTGATTTTTTCACTTTTACCATTCTGAGTTGCTGCCTTTGCTTCTTTCAATAGCATTATTAGATTCAACTTTTTCATCTGGTTTTGGCTGTTCTTTCTGCCTTTCTTCATTCTCCTCCTGAACATTATTTTCATCTAAAACAATAAAAAAGTATATTGAGTAATGTTTTTCCAGTGTTTTCATTTAAAAAATATTATAAACAAAGCATAATTCTAAAGACAATATCAATAAAACCTAAAGGTGGAAGTAGGGTATCTTCTGAAGAAGTAAAATAAAAATTTACCCTAAAAAATCAGTAGAATTAGAATGTTTTCTTCACAAACCCTGGGATTATTCCTTCCCTTGCCACAGACCCCAAGGCCATCCACACAACTGTGCAAATTCACATTTATAACTCAGCTGTGGAAGCCATGAACAGGCACATGTAGTACTAAATAACTCATACACTAGTGAAAGTTATAAAAAAAAAACAAAACAAAAAAGTAAAAGAAATATTTTTTTCTTCTTACCTTGCACAGGGTCTGTGAGTTTCCCATCTTTATTATCTGTTTTTTCTGCATTAATAAGGGGCACATCTGCGTGCTGAACTTTAGCCTTTGAAGGGCTGTCCTCTGCACTGAGAGCTAAACAAACATGTTTGAAATGTAAACCAATGGATATTATCTTGACAGAGGGTGGTTCTGTGGTTCTACTGCTGCACTTCAATTTCATCTAGCTCTGTTTCTGTGCAATAGTACTTACAAACACCAAGAATAATTTTATAAGCATTACTATGTGACACCATATTAAATATGAACTACAAATCAGCAACAAAGTTTAAAGTATTTTACAGCCTGGTTATAATTACATGCTTGCATTTCCTAAAATAAGTAAATACTATAAATGTAGTAGAATACTACAAAGTCACATGCAAAATAAGACACATTAACCAACAGGATACAGTCGAGAAATCTAATTTGAATAGGACTCAACTTCTTTCAGACCACTTTTTTAGATTCAAAATGGCTATTTTTTTCTCTTTGGAGTACAATACTGCTAATTTAGATGATCTCATTACCTCTATTGAGCTATTTTAAGCTATCAGTTACATGCTAATATACATTAAAATTAAGTACATTAAAATTAATTTTAATTCAAATATTTATTTTTATTTATTTATATTTTATGCGGATCATAGCAAAGTTTAGCCGTTTCCTCAGTGTCTGTCCACCTGGACAACACTGGACTAAAATGAGTTTTAAAACATTAAACTGAGTGGGGAAATCTCACAGATACCACATTCCTACAATTTTTTGAGTATCAATGGCAAGTAAAACAGAATTTTTTTTTTTTTTTCAAAGATAAGAGCTATAGCTGTGCTTTAAGAATTCTGTGTGGATTTCTGTACTACAAATTAACTACTAGCATGGAGCCCCATTTGCTCCTTTTGTCCAGTTCACCAAAATGCTGGTGAGTATCTGCAGAGATTACCCTGGTCTGATTTATATCAAAGGAGGACCAAATTAGTAAGGGACAATTTGCACCCCTCTGAGCACACTTACATTCTTGCCATTTTCTTTTCACTGGAACACCTATAACAACCTAAAAATAAAACCCATTTATGTTAGTTATTTTGTGGACAAAATTATTTCATAGCTATTTCATCATCATTAATTTACTTTTTTTTTTAGGAATTTATGACCAGTAGCGTGAAACATATGTGTGTAAATCCCTCAATGGATATTCAAAAAGTCAATAAGTTAGTTACCTGGACATTTATTTACCACAAATAAATTTCTTCTAGAGCTTAGGAAAAAAAAGAAAATTAAACAGCTGGTTTCAGAAGATATAGCAGTAAAATTAAACCAGGTTACACACACTTTGTTTAAAAGTTCCTTACATCAAGAATGGATTGCTATGGATGTAATAAACTACCTAGAAAAACAAAAAGGTCTAAAAAATATAGACAGAAGTAAATATTTACATATCCATGAACATAAATCTCAAGTAAAATAATCTCAAGTCAAAAAGAAATTCAAATAAGTCAAATGAAAATGTTGCTACCAATAATCAGTTGCGTTTCTTTTTAAGCAGAGGTTAAAAATGAAGGACAGACAGAATGGATTTGATAATCTGAAATCTCTCCCTTCTACAGCATTCACTCTTGACTTGATCTTCCAATATTCCCATACTTGTTTTTTACCAGAAATGGGTAGGATCAGAGCAGGCTCTAATCCTTGAACCTAAGTGTGATAGTATCACACAGAAAGAAACACAAGTCTTTTTTCAGAAGGGCAGGACACCGCCAGCTTTACCATAGGAGCCTTGGGAGCTCCACTTTGGAAAGAGACATCCTTCCAAATGCACATTAAGTAGCATTAGCTAGGGATCCTGTCAGGAAACACTGCTTAACAAGCAGGATGCTGACAGAAATGGAAGTTGATGGAGAAAACAAATTTAAGGTGTACCACGAAGAACAGTGAGCACCTCGAGAAGAAACTTCACCAATATCCTGTCCACATAAAGGTATTATAAATAATACTGCAGTGCAAGTAAGTATCAACAGAGTGCAATATGAAGATTTCTCCACATTAATATGTTTCTAAGGATGCAGCTCCCTAAGAATTTAAGTTTAGGGCACTTCTGTGATGCCACAGCACTGCTTATTATCACATGTCAACCTGCAAATTCCCACACTTCCATCTGTACTATGAGAAATTTTACCTGGCTTCCCTGAGAATTGCCATAAGCTGCTTACAAAGCAGAAACTACTCAGAAAAGTTATAAAGGCAGTTTCCTAGCAACAAAAATCCAACTTAATTTACAAACACACACAGAGCTGAGAATTGATTAAATATTAGTCTATATATTTTGTGTTATTTGTGCACTCAGAGAAACTTTATCCAGAATAATCCCAGAAGAATTATTAAAATAAAAAAAAGCACCTGTAAAAAAGGTTTAAAAAGCAAATCTGCCCAACATAATGGAAATTACATTTTTTTTCTTTATTAAATACAAAGCTTCTGGAATTCTTAAGAAAAATGTACCTGTATTTGTTTTCTTCCTTCTTTCTTCTCAATTGTTAATCCAATTTGCCTAACTCTTTTGTTTAGTTCAGAGCCTTTACCCTTAACTTCATCAGATTGTGCTATCTCTGGATAATGCTGTCTCTAGAAAATAAATGCAAGTCCTTAAGTCACACAACTTCTTCCACATCTAGCACAGTTAATAATCATGGGAGATAAATCAACTTCTACATATACATAGCAGAACTTATTAAAATAGTTATGCACAGAATAATTTAGGGAATTGAAGCCAACTCTTCAGCTCAAAAGAGGGCTGACACTGAATGCTGAACTGGTTGCGTCCGGCTTTGCCTGCTTGGGTCTAAAAACCTCTGGGGAGAGAGATTTCCCCCTTTCTCTGGACAACTTGCTCCAATGCTTAACTGCCCTCACAGCAAAAAAACTTCTTTATGTCATGTAGGAAAATCCCCTGCTTGAATTTATGTTCCTGCCAAGAAGCTCCAAAAAGGGTCTAGTTCTGCCTTCTTAATAACCCCCTCTGAGGTACTGCAGGGTTACTGTTAGATCCCTCTGACACTTTTTCTTCTCCAGCCAGAAGAAACCCAATTACCTCAACTTCTCCTCATAGTACAAGTGTGCTTCAGCCCCTGACTATCTTGGCAGCTCTCCACTGGACTGGCTCAATTTCATAAATAGCCTCCTTTCTGCAATAGCACAAAAGTGAACACAGTACCCTAGATAGAGCCTAGCAAGGATCAAGAACAGGGGAATAATCACTTCCTTTGATCTACTGGCTGTACCCTTGTTAGTAGAGCTCAGCTCGCTGCTAGCCTTCACTGACACCAAGCTACGCTACTTATCTTGAACTTTTTATCCACCAGGACCCCCAGGCTCCTTTTTCAGCAGAGCAAACTCCAGTCATTTAGTCCCCTGACCCTTCCGCTACCTAGGGTAATCCAGCTCAGGTGCACAACTTACGAAGTTATCCTCATGAATTATTACATTTTTATAGTACTTAAGAATTTAGCAGAGATGCAGTTAACAAGTGTAAGATTCAGAATGGTGTTTATGAAAGACATCACTGCAGATTCATAGCATCTCACCCAACCTTAGGCCTAAAGCTGCCTCAAAATAGTATGTGAACTCAGCTGTCTATGACTTTAAGATGTGTTCAACATAATACCAATTTTGAGAGACGTTTATGGGGAGTATCAAAATACTTTTCAGAATATTGCTTTCTCAGTTTTGTTAAAGCCCATCCTAAGCCAATATACTCAAGTAAACATTCAAAGGCTGGAGAGTCTCATTTCTCTAGACATATTGAAAATGATAATGTGTTTGAATATTTGCGAGCTGACATGAACCTCAAGAGATTTGTCATAAAACAAGCAACAGAACAGACATGTCTTGTCCAGCCTCAAAACAGAAGAGGAGTTGGGTTTTCCCCTCACTGATTCCAAGTTACAGTATTTAGTAATCTAATATGTATCACATTATCTAATATGTATCATGTTCATTTATAAATACATTCCTTTTAAAGCATCTGAAAGATGGAATAGTTTCTTCATTGATACTGTTCTTTTACATTATACAAAAATCAGTCAAACATCTATTTCTAGTCCATTTTAGCTATAGATTCCATTACTGGTTGACCAAAACAGAATAAACTAAACTCAGTGTCAAGCAATGGACAGACATACACATTACTGATGAGAAGTATTTTAAGTCTACTCATCACAGCTGCACAATCTTGCAATACCAAGATTTTCACAAAAGCTTACGTAAAACCTTACATTTGATTTTTTAAAAAATCAAAATACGACTAACAAATTCTCCCCTTTAGTCATTACATTAAAACAAACAAATGAACGAACAAAAGAACTTACCAAGTATGCCAGTCTGTGCTTGGAACCACAAACATGCATGAACATGTTACTTAGTCCTGTTTTACAGTAACAGAGCTGACATTCATAGAGAAAAGGAACATTGTCTTTTGTTCGGTATTCTATTATGTAATTAAGTCCTGTATTGAAAAAAACCAAACAAACAACTCAGGAAATTTTATGATTGCTGGAACAAATCATCAGTGCTGGTTGCAAAAGAACTGATCTTAAAGCCATGACATATAAGGAAAAGATTACTACCACATGTCCAATACATCAGTGAAGATTTTTAGAACCATCAGATATTTCATCTTTTGAGTGTCTAGACTTTTTGAACTCCAAAGATATAAAACTGATGTTTTTAGGATGTCTTATGCTTAGCACATAGGACTCAACAATTAAAAAAAAACCCATTAAAAATTATAGCAACAATTTTTTTTTTAACTAATTAGAAGGGAATTTATTTTAATATATATCCCTAGTTGTTTTTTCTGTCAACTCCTATCTCCCCTCCACTGGATGGGTAGTTAAATTGCAAAGAGCCACACTGATCTCTTAATTTCTGTCATATTACTTTACATTGTGTCTAGAGAATACTGTCAACATGAGATATCTAAGCAAATATGTTCCAGGCCAAATCCAATGATTTTGTCACTACAATCTATCACTTCCATACCATACTATTGGGTACTCAGTACAACCATAAGAAGATCTTGTCCATAAGAAGATCTTGTAACACATTACCTAATTTTTACATTTTAAAAAACTGATCTGTACTCTTTAAAGCCAAACATCACAAAACCAAACAACTACAGTATTAAAAGCCCTCACCAAGTGCAGGTTCTGAATCTTTACATGTATTAAGTTGGTCTTCCAATGTCTGTCCATGAAACTTCTCTGGCTCAAGTGGCACTGTAAGAAATTAACATACAAGTGAATCCCTGCTCATACATGGTCCCACATCACAAATTAAGTCAGTTATTACGTAATATTATTTCCCCCAATTTTATTTCCACTCTTTTTAAAGCATTTAAATTGCAAAAATTAAGTGTTATTAGAAAATATTATTGCAGATTGAAAGTACAATGGTGAGAAATGAATTCCCAATGACCTGCTAAGATCTAGACATCACTTGTAATGTTGTACCTCAATATTTTTTATTTCTTCAATTTTTTTTTTTTTTCAGGGAGGTGTGCGGAGAGGCATTAAACATTCTTACCAAAATCAGGAAGTTTTGCAGTTGTTTTCACTTTCTTCCCTAAGCAACTTTCTGTTTTAACAAAAAGAAAACAAAAGTAAAAATCTGAAAGAAGTGGAGATAAAATTGTTAGTACAATTGAAAGAACAATTTGGTAAAATAACTGACTACTTTAGAAAAAACTCTTTGAGCTTTTGCTGATATGAGAAAACTAAACTATGTTTAGTTTGGAATGTGCTAAGAGATTTTTTTTCACAGATTCACAGACGATTTTGAGTTGGAAGGGACCCACAAGGATCACTGAGTCTAGTACCAGTCCCTGCTCATACACGTTCCCACATCACAAATTAAGTCAGTTATTATGTAACATTATTTCCCCCAATTTTATTTCCACTCATTTTAAAGCATTTGAATTGCAAAAATTAAGTATTATTACAAACTATTACTGCAGACTGAAAGTACAATGAACAGAAATGAATTCCCAATGACCTGCTAAGATCTGGACATCACTTGCAATATTGTACCTCAAAATTTTTTATTTCTTCCCTTTTTTTTTTTTGGGGGGGGGGGGGGGAGTGTCAGGGGAGAGGGAGGTCTGGGGGGAGATGTTAAACATTCTTACCAAAATCAGGAAGTTTCACAGGTGTTTTCAATTTCTTTCCTAAGCAATTTTCTGCTTTAACTGAAAAAAAAAAAAAAAGAATCCCACAGAAGTGGAAATAAAATTGTTAGTATAAAAAATAATTTGGTAAAATAACTGGCTAGCTACTTGAAAAAAACTCTGAGCTTCTGTTGACAGGAGAAAATTCAGCTATGTTCAAGTTAAGTTTTGAGCATGCTAAGAGATTTTTTCACAGAGTCACAGACTGTTCTGAGTTGGAAGGGACCCACAAGGATCATCAAGTCCCGTACAAGGACTGACTGAACCCATGACCCTGGTGTCATTAGCACCATGCTCCAAAACATGGACAGAAAACATTCACACTAAACAACAACAAAGTTATTTCATGTCAGGCAATTCAATGAAGCAGGCAGAGAGGAAGATAAATGACGTTCAATGTCTCTAAACATTTGAGGGCATCCAGGAATTTTAGGACATTTATTTCAGCAAGCATACAGCTGCTAAATATTTCATCACTTAAGTTTCCATTACAGTCCAAACAAAAATTCTCAGATCGGGTAGGTCCAATGACTGTGTCTGACTTGAACAACAATTTTCAAACCAAATTCTAGGAGCAGTGAACTGTAGCAACAAAAATTCTCAGATTGGGTAGGTCCAATGACTGTGTCTGAACAACAATTTTCAAACCAAATTCTAGGAGCAGTGAACTGTAGAAACCTGAAAAGACATTTTGGTGCATCATGAAACCAAGCTAGGAGAACAATTGCAAATGTAGTTAGACCTTCACTCCTTCTGGAATGAGACCAGTTCATCAAGACCCAGAGGAGGTTTAACGACTTATTAAACCTAATCAAAGTATTAAAAATATCTTAATTAGCTGAAGCAAATTAACCCCTTTTCAAAAACAAATATAAAGCATATACAGTATTTCTACATGCTTTAAGAAGCATAGGTTTTTAAATTATATTTTAAGTTTTGAAGGTCTCTAATGTCTTGAATTCTTTAGGGTTTCTCAAAAATTTAATGTAGGTGATTTTTAGTCTTCTGGCTAGTGCTTGTTAATCAACTTTGCATACCTCTTGCTCACATTACTGACTGATTAGGTAGCTATATCATTAAAAAACACAATTCAGGTCTTCAAGCACATGTCTTGAGAAAGTCTTTTTCTCATTTGTTTCATAAACAACTGCATTGGGGTGGGGAGAAAGATGCAGGGTACAGAACACAGCAGGAAGCAAAAAAATCTTGCACTTACGCATGCCATGAGTTTTCAATGCTTCTTCAACCTAAATTACCAAGTTATCAACCAGAAAAGAAGAAAGGCACTTAAGAGTCAAAACACAACAATGCAAAGCTTCCATTATATATAAGTTTGATTAATACCAACAGCATAGGCTATCTCAGGTGAACAATTACATGAAAATTAAAAAAAAGGAAAGCATCCCTTTTTCTTCTGAAGATTGTCTATTATTTAAGTAATTCCATTTGTAACATTTTCTGACAGGACTAATGTACAAAATCATGTTCTACTTTATCATTGTAGAGAAGACAGCAAGTTAGCAAAACTAGTTAAATATCTGAAACTGTATGTTTCAACACCACAACAAAAACTAGATTTCCAACCCCATAATCTATTGCTAAATAAATTGGTAAACTCTGACAAAAGGTGCATTCAAAAACTGATCTTACCGTCCTGTGTTTTGTTCCAAGGAAATGAGTTTGCAAGTTTAATGCAGAAGAACACCAGATTTTGCAAATCTAGATTAAAGAGAAGTATTTCTAGCATTGCACACAGACCAAGAGAAATAAGATACCACTGATATCAAAACAGATCTACTATCACATTGTTAGTATAGCTTAAGTTCTACAAAAGTACTACTACTTCAAAGACAAACTAGAGCAGCCTCCTAAAACTGAATTTTTTAAGGCTCCAAGACAACTGATACACAGCGAAATGAACCAGAGTCTCCACATCACGTAAGAATTTCAGATGCTCCAGAACTCTGCAGCTATTTCATAACACTTTCTGTGTGGGCATATGTGGGTAAGTGAAGACAGATCCAAGACCTTCCTCACACATGGAAGGAAAGGAATGGTGAGCCACACGGCATAATTGTGACAAGCCATGACACCTGCCTGAGGTGAGCCAGTTCTCCTCAGCGCTGCAGCCACACTGACACACTCTGATCAGCTCAGGGCCTGCCGCGCTCCCTTTGGAAAACTTCCCTATCCCAGCAGGTTTATGCCTGGGCCAGTTCAGAACAGGAGCAGATTAGGTTTAAATTCACCTGAATGAACAGCAGCTGCCCAAATATTTTCTTCTCTAAAAATCCCAGTATGCTTTAATAAAACAGCAATAAACCTGACAACCAGAGAAATCGGGATTTTTTTGTTCTGAACAGGAGCTACACTTAATCATCCACTTTTAAAAAGAATGCCTTTATTTAGAAACAGTATTATTCACTTTAATAAGCGATTCTTCACACATGTTCAAGTCAAACATGACAAAGTCACCAAAACAAGTTCAGGTCCAGTGCTATTTACCAAGCTTGCTCAAGAGAAAAGAAAGAACATTCACACTTGGTTTAGGACAACTTTTTAAGTCAATACTTACATTGCAATAAAAGGGGTTTATTTGCTTCTTTATTTCACTTTCAGGGTCCATATTCAGTCTTTAGATGATAAACTAAACTCTAGGAAAACTGCAAAAAGATTGCAAACTGTTGTTTGAGCTTCACAAAATTATTTACATTTTTGTTCCGTCTATATGAGGGTTGGGCACATTCCAGCTTTATTTTGCGCCTTGACTTGAGTCACATTCAACCTTTAAATTCCCAGGCTAATGATCCTATTTTCAACTCGAGAACAAAACTACAGCATGGAAAGAAACAATTGTTCTCCGCGAGCTTCCCTCGGGAAACATTAACGTCACCAGAAGATTACGCAGAGCAAAAACTAATGTAACAAAAACTAATCCGGACCATTTCAAGCTTTCCCCCTTCTTTCCTGGGACAGGACTGCGGGCATGGGCTGGGACAGATGACACACACATCGGGAACAGCCAGCACGCAGTGCCCGCGGCGTGCCTGGGGAACAGCAGCGGGGCTCGGGAAGGACACGGCTCCCACCCGGATCGCGGGGCGAAGGAAGTGGGGAGGAAGTAAAGGAGGGAGGGAGGGAAAGGAGCGAAGGAAGGGAAGCAGGGAGGCCCCGAAGCTCCAAACCCCACGCCGAGAGCGCCCTGCCCGGCACTTCCAGCCCCGCCGGGAGGACACAGACACTGCCGGAGCCGGGAGACCGCCGGGCCGGCGCTGCGCACAACTCACCCCGGCGGGCCGGGCAGCGTCCGAGCCCGCGGGAGCTGAGGGCGCTCCCCGCTGCCGCGCCGCCCCCTGCCACCGGGAACTGCGCCACGCCGGCCGCGATGAGGCACGGAAGGGTGGTGGGAGCCCGGCGGGGCCGGGCACGGCACCTCGTGGTACCGCGGGCCGGGAGCTCGGCGCCGGCGGGAGGGAACGGGAACGGGAGCGGGAACGGGAGCGGGAACGGGAACGGGAACGTGACGGCGGCGGCCGCGGCAGCCCCCGGCGCTTCCCGCGGCCGCCGCTGGGGGCGCTGGCGCGCAGGCGCGTGGGGCCGCCGGGCGCAGTCGGAGGTAAAGCCCGAGCTGGGTCCGCGCCGCCGCACCGGGGCGGGGATTCCCCATCCCGCTCCGCTCCGGGGCCCCGGGATCGGGATGCGGATGGGCACGCCGCGCTAGGGATGTGCGTCCCGGGAGCTCCGCCCGCGCCCGGTGCAGGCGGGGCTGCCCACCCCCTTCCTGGCGGCCACTGGGTGTTCGCACGCCGCTTCCCACAGCACACACACATACACACGTACACACGCGCGCATTCCCCGCGGCCGCCTTCCCGCAGCGCCGCCGCACCTGCAGCACCGGGATCGCCCGGGCCGGGTGTCCCGGAGGCACGGCGGTGTCCCGGCGGCACGGCGAGGCCGGCGCCGCGCCGCCCGTGCTGCGGCGGGCGGGAATCCAGCGCGGGGTTTGCGGGGAGCTGGAGGGAGCGGTGGCGGCGGCCTGCGGGCGGGGAGGTGAGGGAGGCGGGGAACGAGGGAGGGAGGGAGCCGAGAGGCGCTTTGTTACGAGGAGGCAGCGGGGCCGCAGGGTGGGGTTGTCCCCGCCGCCGGCGCTGGGTGACAGCGGCCGGCCGCCGCCGAGGCCCCCCCGCCGCCGCCGCCGCTGATGCGCCCGCAGCGCCGCAGCCTCCGCGCCCGCCCGGCGGGGAGCGGCCGCCTTTGTGGAGCCGGGACCTGCTCTCCGTTCTCCTTCGAGCAGAAGAGGAGCTAGCGAGGAGGTTAAAGAAACCCCACCAAGCTCGAGTTAATGTTTGAGAAGTTCGGGTGCGGGAGAGTCTGGTAGGATTCCTGTATTATGCCTATTTTTGGTGGATTTCAGGCAGTGGTTCGGAATAACAACCTGCGTCCATTACCTTGCTTGCGGGAAGTGCTTTGGATGTCCTCCATAGGTAGCGGGATGACCCGCTTAAAATCTGTCTGTATCTATAGTGTAATATGATACAAATACATACATATTTTAATACATTTCCGTGTATAGCTCTTTAAAATCTGACAGGAGAAATGTGGGTAAAGTACTGTGAATTTTACTAATAGACGATCTTGTTTGTTTGCTGGATGATACATGATAGCTATTCATTTGTATTAAAGCGTAGGGGGAAAGCTCCCAAGGAGGTGGGATTTTTAAAAATCTGATTAAAACACATTTTCTGTAGAGATCTCATTCATATTTGTAATGTGCTCTTAATTACCTAGTGATTTCAAGTCTCAAGGTAGGCAGGGTCAGGCCTGGAACATTGATGGAAGCTTGGTGAGGAAAACCAAGGAAACATTTGAGGAAGAAGAACACTGTTTACTGCTGCTTGTGTCATTCAAACAAAATATAAACCTGTTGTGACTAGTCTGGGTCATTGCATTTCCATGCCTTTCTTTGGTCCTCAAGCACTGGATGAAAAGGACAGAATTATGTTTCATTTCCAATGTTGTTAATTAGTGACTATGTTTAGAGCTTCATCTGCAATTTAAGTTAGAGACATAAATTTTAGTTTTATCAATCCTTGAATATTTCTGGTAGTAATTCAGTTGGCACTGGTCAGTGCATTTCCACCCCATAAGTGACCACAGTTTGCTAACAAACATTTTTCTTGGGGTTTGGTTAGTGTAACCTTTTTAACATTTGGGATAAGTCTTCCACCATAACTTTCTCTCTGCATTTTCTTGTGCCTAAGAAAACATTTCATGAACTAAAAATGCTCACAAATGCCAACTTAAACCAATTATTTTTCCTTTTACTGGGCTTCTTTGCAACTGATTGGAGCTTGGGTGTCTGTTTAGATGTGTGCAGGCAAAATAATGCATGTGTGTGACATATTTATGAACAGATGTGCTTTTCCTAACTTCTGTAATTTTTTTTTCAAGCTGTTCTTCGAGCAGGCCACATCACATGCCTTATAGCCTTTAAAAGAAGAATGCTGCACAACATTTCACAGTAAAGATGAGGAGCTGAGAGATACTTCTGTTATCTTAAAGCTATAGAGGTCTGTGTGAGAGGACAAATACTTAGGACACTGCTTTAAGGCAAGCTGTGAATTTTGTCATGCCAGAAGAAGATATTTAGGATAAAGTACTTTCTTACTGCATGTGTCTTGGAGCCTAGGCACCTGTGAGAGTGGGAGAAGCTTTCCAGTCTTTGTTTCTTAGAATTTACTCTGCAGCTGTCCTCATGTGCCCACACAAATCAATCCAGTTTATGGGATGAGCTATGCACAGTAAACTACTTTGATTTCAGCACAGATTCCTGCTAAATTTTATTGCAGGCATATGTCCTGGAAGGACTGGTTAGCCTCAAAATGGAAATTCTGTGGGCTTATGAGTCCCTTCTCATATTCTGCAGAGGAGCCAGTGGGCTGCAAGAAGGTGAATAATATGCATAAAGAAAACAGAGGTGAATATAAATACATGGTGGTGTTCTGACTCAATTTCTCGGTATTCTAACTTCTCCTGACATCTCAGAGCGCTTTCTTGTTCACCTCATTGCAAATGGGCTTTAATACATTGAAGAAAGTAGGTTAAGTAGGTAAGAGCTTGAGAAGTCTTCCAGAACTCTTTTTTTCTATGTATTAGACTGCCCACAGCAATTCTTGAGTTCCTTTATGCATCCTAGATCATAATCCTGGCTTCTTCACAGAAAGGACACAAGTGCATGTGTATGTTTAGGAAACAAATACTAGGAATGTGATTAGTGGAAGGAAAGACCAATATATTCTTCTCAGAGTAGGACTTATCTTTCCATTCTTTAATGTTTAGTATTTGAACTGGGAATCTCAGATGCTACAACAGTAAAAATAACAGAAGTAAATGATAGTGTGGTATGAAAGTGATACTTAAATTTGCTCCTTCCATGAAAGATGAGCTTTTATTCTAGTACATAACATGTTAATATATCGAAAGTCATATTTATAAATGTTTTAGATATTTATTGATATCAGCTGATCTTGGCCAGTCTGTGGAGCTAGATATTTAGCATCTGGAATCCAGAAGTCCTAGTAATGTTTTTAACTTTGTGAATGTAGTCTCCAGACTTCTGAAAATCCAGTTTTTCTAATTAAAGGGATTCTCTAAGCATGAACATGTAATGATTCTTTTTATCTGAGATTCTATCACCTTTTCAAAACTGGAACTAACATTTCCATGCATCAGTAGAGGGTAGTCCTTTCTGATCACATGGAGTTATCCTGATTTTTCACAGTCATAAGCTATTGGGCTTCACAGCTTGCTGGCAGGACTGCATTTCATCCCATTCCTTGATGGAATTGAGGTTAAGGTACTGAACCAATATTTAGTCCCAAGAATTTCATTTTAGCATCTGTCCAAAGCAACTGAATGGTTTGGGATGGTGCAACAAGTATGTAAGTAAAATAGATTAGTAGATACACCCGTTCTATGTCTCTTTTATCTTACCTATTTTCAGAGTGGTGTCATGAAGTCAACTTGCCAGTTTTCAGTATCTTTGCTAGGATGTCAATTTCCTGACTATTTTTTCCCCCTAATTTGTGTTTTATTTAAGGAACTTCTGAAGTAGCTGTACACTTCTATTAGACCTAGACATTGTAATGACTGGTATGCAGTGAGAGAAGTTTCTTTACTTACACCTAGTTTTTTTCTGTGGGTTTATAGCTGTTTAAGAATTCCTGTCACCAGCATGGGGGGTCACTTAAGTTTTCACAGACCATAAAGATAACTTGACACAGTGTGACAGAGGAAATATTGGATCAAGAAACTGTCTTCCTTAAACTCAGCCACCCAACTCTCTTCCTTCTTCCTCCTTTTGCTTTCATGTAAAATAAATTAGCTCTTCTATGAGCAGTAGCACTATTGCATTTTGTTTTCCTGTGGATCTTTCCCTTAGTCCACTAGATCTTGTCTGCTGCAAAAACTTCAGCTCTCCCATGTCCTTGTGACACCAGGATTTGGTGTGAGAGCAGAACTGTGACTATGCAGGACCCACATAGGTGCCTGGAATAACCCAGTCAAACACTGACAGAAGGTGCAAACCAAGTGTTTGCTCCTTTTTCAGTAGGGGTACAACTTAGCTACTGACTTGACCTAGACTGTTACTTACTTCTATTCACTTTGCTGTAGTTCTGCTATTCCAGGCTTTTTTCCACTGTGTCCCCTGTTCTTTGGCTCCTTTGTTTTGCTGGCATCATGGTTTAACCCCAGCCAGCAACCAAGTACTGTGCAGCTGCTTGCTCGCCCCTTGCCCCCAGTGGGGTGGGGAGGAAAATCAGAAAAAAAAAAAAAAAGTTATGTGTTGAATTAAGAACAGCTTAATAATTGAAACAACCTGAAATATAGTAACAATAATAATACTTATAGTGGAAAAGAGAGTGGGGGGGGGGGGGGGGGGGGGGGGGGAAA